ACTGTACATCCTACGCTCTCACCTTGCGGATCGTCATCTGCCAGAGGTATACTATTCATGTCGTCTTGAAGCTTGGCTGTCATTATCACTGACATTCCGCGATTACGGTAATTAAAAACGTAATACAATCGCTTCAGTAGAACATTTATTTTGCAACTGTGGGACGTTTCTTCGCGCTGATTGGATTATAGATTTTTTATCCAGAAGAATAATTTTATCTCAGCGGATAATCACAAGATGGTAGCAAAACTGTTGTTTTGCTGAATGCAATGTAGCACAATGTAGCTTACGTAGCTATTGATCCGAATCGTCTCAAGTCTCAAATCGTTCGCACTCTAAACAATTCCGAAACCATGGAGTATAGAGAATAGGAGGCTAAACTAGGCTTTGAAAAGTGTGGTCAAAATCATAAAGCCGGTATTCATAGTCAGATCTTATATTCAAGACTGTCTTAAGTACGGTCTTAAGTATGGTCTTAAGAAATCAGTCTTGAAATAAGAATCGACTATGAATACCGGCTAAGAGGTCAGTTTTCTGTGGCTGAACTAGTGTACACTTTTGGAACATAAAGTGAGATAGATATACGTTTTGTAGCGAGATGCTACATATAATAAATGTAGGTAATGGATGGCACCAGATTCACAAGTAATAACGTGTATTTATTAGCATACAATATCTCATCGCAACAATATAATTCGAAATATGTCGTGTTTCTGGTCGGTTAAAGAACTAAGCGAAGACAATATCTAGATGAGAAATTCAGTATCGTGTTCGTGGGAGCGCGCCATCTGGTCGCGGAGTATGTATGTCTAACCGAGTATAAGACATGAAGTATATAACTGAAAGAGTATGAGAATAGGTGCGTGCGTGCGTGTGTGTGTGCGGAAGTGTGAATGTGTCTCCACAGTTTGATATTTATTTAAAGCGAGAAAGAGAGTTCTAGAACAGTCTAGTATAGGAGCAGAAAACAGACCAAAGAATATAAGGTCTTCCGTTCCCGAGGATGCACAGTAGTCCAAAATGGCGGCTGCTCCTAAACTACAGACTTCTATATATACTACTAGACAGCTAACTCCTTAGGACAAGCTGTGAAATGGACTCCGAAAATATATGATAGTTTGCATGCGTCATATATACTTAATATATTGGGTGGATCCATATATTCGTTCGCTTTTTGAAGGCTAAAATGAAACAAGTTTTTTTCATACAAAGGATGAATTTTAATCAATAATATATTCTCCGTTTTTGTTGATGACCTCTTGCCATCTTTCCAACAATTTCATTATTCCGCTCTCATAGAAGGTCTGGGGCTTAGAGGCGAAAAACCGGTCGAGGTACGTTTTCACAGCTGTCTGATCAGCGAACGATTTCCCGTTGAGGGAGTTTTGCAGGGACCGGAACAAGTGATAGTCGGATGGCGCAAGGTCTGGTGAATACGGTGGGTGAGGCAAAACATCCCAGCCAAGTTGCACTAATTTTTGCTGAGTGATTATTGCGGTGTGG